TGGACTCAATAGAGCACCACTGAGTGCTCTGATAGTACTGCAGATTTCTTATCTCCAAAGAGAGCTAACCTCCCTGTACCACCTGTCCTGCATTTCCAGTGTGTGAAGAATCCCAGCCAACCACTGCAAAAGTACTTCTACAAGCACTGGTGCTGGTACTCAGTGCTTACTCAGTTATCACAAGGATTAGCAGGTCCATGACTGGTAGTCAAGTCTGCTTTGAGTCAGGTAAGGCTGGCCCGACACCAAAGAAGGAAGTGGAAAGTTCTTTTCTTCTCTCAATACATTGACAGAAGGGGATATAGCTTCTCTCAATGGGCTGGGGATATAGCTCAGCAGCAGAGGTGCCTGCCCAGCAAGTTGCAAGGTCCTGAGTTTGATTCTCAGTTACCCCCAAACAAACAAACACAGATCAATCACATTTACATTATGCTCATTTGATTATTTTGAGTTTGCAAAGACTGATTATTTGATGATTTTTCCTACAACAGGGTTCAAAAAGCAATGTGGGGTTTTACAATACAACACATGGTTGACCTCCTTAGAGGCTGCTGCAGGAAAGGCCCTTGCTGGCTGGCCCAGGAGTCTGGCTCACCACCTCCAAGCTTTCTTTCTTGGCTTCATCCAGATGGAAGCCTTGGCAGCTAGAAAAACCATGGGGCATGGCTGCAGACTGGCTCTTCCTGGGTTGGTGGATCCCCAGTTCCATCAAGCTATTTTTAGTTTCATTTCTCAGTCCTTACTCTACCTAGCATGTAAATTTTAATTTGGGTTTGTAACTGTTCTTTCCCAAGATAGTCATTTATCAGTGACCAAAAACAAAAGTAGGGGGAATTTAAAAATAAAAAGCCAGACAACTCAAAGGCTCAGTTTGTTCCTTATCTCTCTTTTCCTGTGTAATACAGAACCACTGTCCCATGAAAGAGAGGTGGTGAGGGTTTCACTCCTTGAGAGCCACAATGAACACTAGGCAGACATCACAGGGTTGACGGGTTGTTTTTGTTTTAAACATTGGCATGAATGAGCAGTTTTAGGGGCCGGGGATATAGCTCAGTGGCACAAGTGCTTGCCTTGCAATCGCGAGGTCCTGAGTTCAATTCCTGGTACAAAAAAAAAAAAAAAAAAAAAAGAGCAGTTTTTTTCACCCTAGAATATCCTCTTGAATCTGACGAAATAAAACCAAGTAAAAATTCATGTGTTGTTGTTCCTCAGGATTCCTAATCATTATATTTGCACAAAGCATGAGGAATTTCAGGGCCACCTAGATTTTTTTCTAACATTATGAAACTCCTTCTAACTTGAATCTTCATCTATGATTTCTCTATTTAAAAAGATCGTATATTTTTTCAGTTACTTATGATTTTTTAATTCTTATTTGTGTTGAGCTACTGAAAGGAATCTAAACCAAATAAATGCTGCTTTCAATTCTCACCTGTTTTTTTTTTTTTTTTTGGTACCGGGAATTGAACTTAGGACCTTGCACTTGCCAGGCAGGTGCTTGTGCCACTGAGCTTTACCCTTGGTTCCCTCAATGACTATCTTAACCCCTAACCAGTCTAATTATTTAAATAAGGATGACCAAAAAACTGCACATTTCAACAATTTTTATAACGGAAATATGAAAATGACAATTTAATCAAATGCATCCAATAATTTTTCTGTGTATGATATATCTTTAAACATTCAACACACAATGCAACGCTACAATCTGAGCAGTGGTATTTACTCTTTTTCCAAATTCTTTATGCATTACTGTCTTCCTTTGAATAACACACTTCACACTGTCATGTTGGCCTTTCTTTTTTCCCTGTGGGTGGTGTGATTTTAATAAAATGTCTACCCACTAAACATAATGGGTAAGACACTGATGAAGGAAGTCTTGTTTGGCGTTTTGCTATCCTGTATTTTTCAGTTATTTGATCTATTAGACCTATCTAATCCAAATTATAAATGACTTCTTGAACCCCCATGTTTTGAATAACAAATAAGTTCCATATTGTTTGGTGCAGAAGGTGCATAAATATTTTACAAGAATATTTTTTCCCTTGCTTTTTGATTACAGGACACTTTTGATTTTGGTCAACTCTTTCAACACTACACATAGAATTATCATAATTAGGGCCGGGGATTTAGCTCAGTGGCACAGTGTGTGCCTGGCAAGTATGAGGTCCTGAGTTTGATTCCCAGTAGCCCCTAAAAGCATTATTATAGTCATTGACCACTATAATCATTATTATAATCAAGTTCCATCATTTCTGTATTATGAATAACTGACAATAAGGAGACATCTTTTTTGTCTTTCCATTTCATAACACAGACTTTTCCTCTCTGATATTTTAGTATTTCTCCCTTCCTCATTTTTTTCTTTTGCAGATCTTTCAGCATTTCCTTCCTATTTGGTCTCAGTGTCCCAAACATGTCTGTTTTGCATTATGAAAGAATATCACTGAGTTCTGGAGAAGCACAAAAATCATATCTAATGTTCTTATGATAAGAACTTCGATAGATTGCAACACAAGATTATAGGTTATTTTTCACAAATAAACACAAATTGGTAAAAGAAAATAATCAGAACTTATTAAATTTCACCAGAAACAAACATCAAAGGCAAACACAATGTTCTAAATAAAAAAGTATGCAAAGAACAGTCCATATAAAACAAACAGAGGTATAAGCTTATCTCCTGCAAACAAGAACTGACTGGTTAAAACTGTGAAGTGGTTAACAAACATCAACTCATCTATCTGGAGGTCTTGTAAATTACTGGCACATATGTTAGTTGCAGGTCTCTGAAGTCCTAAGGCTGTACTACTCAGCTTGGAGCAACCGCCCCAGTGCAAGAAGACATCACTTCCCCTACATGCCAGAGCATAAGTGTATAAGCCCTGTCTAGATCACATGGGTTTTTTTGGTACTGGGAATTGAACTCAGGACCTTGCGCTTGCCAGGCAGGCACTTATGCCACTGAGCTATATCCCCGGCCTAGATCACATGGTTAATGCAGTAGAAGGGCTGTGACTGTCAACAATCACCCTTAGTTTTCTGCGCTATTCTAACTTTCATGACTTTTGGTTTGAACACATAGTAAAAGTCCCTTTCAGAAATCATAAAACTAGTGACCACTCTACCCATGTTCCTTCTCTCTCCTTTCACGGAGGACTGGTTTATCCAAAGTACTGTAAGATTCTACATACTGTACCTTGACTCTGGCAGGTTCCATCTCTGTCATAGTCATCTTTATTTTCGAAATCCATGTCTTCTGACTTGGGTTCACTTCCTTCGGGAGCGTATGTGGAGAAACCTTTTTTTCTTTCTGCACATTCTTTCCAAGGTTCTTTTAAAAGCTCAGGCTTCACTTTAAATGGCTCTGATGGAATAGTAGTGGGCTCACCTTCCATGGTGGTATTATTGGCTTTGCTTTTGTACAGGTCTGGGTGATAAGCCTTGGGTTTCTCTACTTCAAATTCATCATTCCCGAGGCCGTGTGCCCACCTTTCCACGTGTTTGCAGTGGCACTGACAGGACGCTGGAGGAAAGGCCCTCGGCGGCCCAGGAGTTTGGCTCACCACCTCTAGGCTTCCTTTCTTAGCTTCATCCAGATGGAAGCCTTGGCTCTTTTCCCTTGGGTTGTTAGCAGTGGGACTGGTGAGATGCAAAGCTTCTGGCTTTTCTCTGGTGCCTGCTGCCATGGCTAAAGTTTCTTCCTCATTTTCATCCTCTTCCTCCTCCTCATCACTCTGGTTCTGACTCAAAATCAATTTAGTTTCTAAACTTTTGCTTTGTAATAAATCAATTAATTTCTGATCTGATGAGAGGTTTCTTTTAGAGTTACAGACACTGAGACTGCACATATCTACAAACCCACTTTCATTTCCTGCATCCAAGGCAGTGGAAGGTAGGCATTTGGCTTCCAGCTGCCCCAAGCTTTCAGGTCTCCGCCCTGCCTCACCGCAGCAGCGCTCCCTTTCCTTTGAAATAGGTGTCAACAAATGTTCTCCACTTTCGATGTTCATTTGAGCTACTCCTGCTTCTATGGTATCCATAAGAGAAACTGCAGCTATTTCTGCCTCACGGTCACCAGGCCGGCAGCCTGCATTTTTGCTTGCTGAGATCACAACAGTATCTTTTCTGCATTCTGTGTTGATTACTGGGCCTTCCTGAAAAGAGCCTGGCTCTGGGCTGAGGACCTTGTTACCATACATCATGTTCTCCAAGCTCTCAGGCAGCAGACTTTCATCATGGTTGATAGAAATAACATCCTGAACTTTAGAAATAAAATTGTCACAAGTCACATCAGGAAAGCTGCCTCCAGGCAGACCCAGAGGATCATCTCTGCTTTCAATTTTCACCAGGTTCTCAGGTTCACTCTCAAGAGACTCTGAAGTCCTACTCATTTGAGCATAGGTAAGAGATTCATATAATTTGGAGTTGGTCTGGTAAAGACAACAGAGACTGCCTGGTGCCTGAGTATCAGTTCTTTTATGCTGGGCATAGTTTCTGTAGGCATCCAGGAAGGACAGCTGGGGGTCATTCATGATGTAATAGTCAGTACGGTTAAGCCCGTGTTTGGCCGTACCGATGAGCAGGTCTCGATCATGCTTGCCACACTCCCACCAGACTGGGAGGTAGAGGCTGGGCCTGCAGAGTTGGAGGCGCTCATGCAGCTGAGGACACCTGAGCACCTGCTCTCGGACTTTCCGTAACAATTCAATGCGGTACAGAGTTCTTGCAGCCCGTTCCTCAGTGATGGGTTCAATGTAGACGGTGGCATCAGGGGGACCTGGAGAGGAAGGGAAATATGGAGACTGTCACTTCAACTGGATCTGAACACTTCTTGCCCTGCTCAGCCCTTCCATTGTTGGCTCACAGTTTAATCCCCTGGGAGTTTTATATGCATGGGCCCTATTAAAATTTGAAGCTAAAAGGGAATGGAAAAAGAGCAGGAAAACTTCAGTTCTGTAAGAATATTAGTTCCCATTTAGTATGTGCCCTCTGTATACCAGCTACTTTGTATTGTACATGTTATCTAGTTCTCATAGAAATTCTATGATACATCATCATCACCAATCCTGTTTTAAGGATGACAATATAGGTTCAGATTAGCCACTTTGCTCCAGGGGCCAGAACCAGAATGTGAATCTAGGTTTTGTCTGTATAACTAAAGGTCTAGACCTTTCTAATATACATTAACTAGTCTACAGTAGCACAAATGTGAGGCTGAAGAGGGGCTTAGGGGAAGCTGTTCCAAATTACATCCTGGATGAATCTACAGGACAGAAGCAGGGTGTGGTGGCGCATGTCTGTAAGTGAACACATGATAAAACACTTAAAAGTTATTAAAGTCTAATATAAGCAAGGTACAAAGATCAAAGTAGGGTAAATCTCAATATGATTTAAAAAACCTTTTAACTTTGGAAAAAGTAAATGGTAGTCTCTAGTTTTTTGAGACAGGGTTTCTTTATGCAATGTAGGTTGGCCTCAAACTTGCAGCAACCCTCTTGCCTCAGCTTCCTAAGCACTGGAATTATAGGTTTGCACCATCAAGCCTGGCTTGTAAGATTTTACTTAGACCAAAGTTACATCATTTGGGAGAGATATAGCATTTTAAGTGAGGGTGAAACCAATTAAAAGTACACGAATTTCTAAGAACCTACATGTGTCTACCTGAACTCCTCAGGTAGACTATTTTGAGAGCGACAGCTAAAGGAATTTACACTTTGAACACCAGCATGTGCATTCCCTGTCTCAGCTAACACACTGACAAATGACTTCCTCACCACCATCTTTCCAGGCAGGCAGACGACAGACGTTCCGGCACATGGCCACAAAATTATAAAAATAGTGTTCCAGGCTCTCATCTGACTTCTTGTCCAGACGGGATATGATGCGGAACTGGGTCCAGTCGAAGGTTTTCTTCTCTTGATCGTAAACAACACCAAAGGAAGACACTGTTCTGTAGAAGTCTGCTTGCTCTCTCCTGGTCCACCTTAAGATTTAATCAGAGTGACAGGAACTGTTTTCTCCCCCCATCTATTTTTTTTTTTTAAGAAATCTAACTGCTTATTGAGCACACGGGATCAGAACTCGAAATCAAGAGAGCAAGTGGAGCTAGTTTATCTTACTGTGTATTTTTATTTAAATTAAATTGATCTGAGAGGCTTATAACAAAAACATGCTATCACCTTACTCCCAAGGAGGGAACTGCTTTCAAGTCTTCAGTGCTTCCTTCTGCTATTTACTTTTCTATTTCAAGGTCACGTGTGCAGATTCCGCTCTCTCCTGAGCAATCAACTGCCTACTTAATTTCCATTTGTAGGAAATAAAGTTTTAAAATACTACATATGCTTAAATATCTATGACAACATGGAATCACAGGATCCTGGAAGGACCTTCTAGCCCACTGAATTCAATCTCTTGTCTTACAACTGAGGAAACTGGAGCCGAGAAGGGCAGAGAAGCATTATCTCAGTACATAAGTCCTGACTCCCCATCTCCCACTGGTTTTCTGTAGATGAGTTGCCCATATCAATTTTTTCCTCTGGGACACAAAGGTCTTCTAGTCTTTAAATCCTACAGGATTAAGGTCATGACTGGGGATGGGAGAGTCACATGCCACAGTCTTTATGAGGTTCCTGGCTGTCACGGTCTCCATCCTAGCTAGGATGGGAGGTGGCTGAGGGCTCAGTGGGAGAGTGAGAAGCAGGGAGCGGCTCTGCTCTTTTATCTGCAGCTAAGACAGGAGAAATGTTTTGAAGTGGCAAATTTTAGAAGGTCAGGAAGAATATAGAAAATTACTTGGATTTGCTACATGGTGTTTCTTTAATTCACTGGATGCTTCACTGGAAGGATAGAAAGAAAGACTCAAAAGAATTGCAGCTTTGTGATATGTTCACTCCTAGTTTGTGCTGGTCTACTGTACCCTTTCTAGCTTAATTCTTAGATGAGCAAGTAATTACTGATAACTTATACCTACCTTCTAGGCTTGCATGTGGTGATATTCATTGCTCTCCAAGTTTTGATAAAAGCAGCTATAAAGATAGCTTCAATGCACAATATATCCTCTGCTGCTAGAAGAAGTAGGGGGTGTGAAGTGGTCTCATGTATGCCAGAGTGGTGTTTTTAAACCATATCCCCACAGACTGGGGTCTGACTGAGGGAAGATGTCATATTGGGGAAGTCATTAAAGTCTGGAAATTGTGAGCAGAGGGTGTCCCAGACTGCATCAAGCTCTTGTTACCATGACAACACCATCACTGTTGAGGCCACATTTAATAAATTCTGGAGACTATGTAACTTTACCAGAGAGCATACCTGCACTTTCCCCTCAGCTATCAGCTTTACTTTTTGTTATTTGTACCCAGTGAACAGCTCAGCATGCCCTTTTGGCCCTCGGCCCTTACCTCTTCTGGGTTTCCTTGTTGATGAGGTCCATTTCTGAGGTTCTCCTGAACATCTCCTCCTGAACCCAGTATCCCTGGTTACCCGGTCCCAGGATTTCAGGTCTGCAGAGCTCTTTACGGTTGCAGCGCTGGTAGATAGTGACCAGACGCCGGAGACGAGCTGTGAGAGCGGATGAAACTGGCCAGGGTGATTTGTCTGGGTCGGAGCTATCCTGGGCTTCAAACATCAGTGAGGACATTAGTATTTATATACAGAACTAAAAGCAAGAGTTTGGTTTTGTTTAAATAAAAACAAAGCTGACACTGTAACTTAAAGTAGTTACTGCTTTAACAATCAGCCCAGCACAGCAGGAAGGACAGTTTTATGTGGTGGTCTGCTGTTATCTGTCCAATAAAACATGTCCAGTGCTGTGAGGGTAGAGCTGATTTGAGGACCTTGCTCTACAGCACAGGAATGAGCAAATTCTTTATTGCCTTTTCCACACAGTACCACGCATTTCTGTGTAGTTGGTCTTTCTGTCAAAGCCTCTGTTAAGTTTGAATTCAGAAAAATAAGTTTTCTAAACAAAACAAAAAGGCAATAAAATTGAATTCCTTTTTACCTGTTAAGATTCCATCCTAACTTAAGAAGTCATTTTATTCTGCATGTCAATGTCAGGGAGATGAAGGCCACAGCCATGTGTGACTTGGGGAGTATAAAGGTCAATTTACTAGGCTTTTAAAAAGCGTATTCTTAAAAATAGCATTTGTAACACACATAAACCCCAGGTAACTACAAACTTAAACTATTTTTCCTCGTCTTCAGAAGGAGACAGTCTCACCTGCCCGGCTGTCATCCTTCTTTTCACCAAAAACGCCTTCGCCACCGTCACTGGAATTCTCCTAGAGGTAAAGGAAGCCATTCCATCAGCAAAACTGAACTTAGAAGAAACCACCTCCAAAGGGCTCCATATGGAAGAAGGAGCATGCATGAAGGGCAGCCCTGTGTATGGACATCTCAGAAACCAAGACCGTACTTGGTAAATGCAGTTTGAAAGGTGTTCTTGTGAACACCTTACAGTTCTTGGAATAATTTTTTCCACCCAGAAATCAGCTTAAAGAATGATGAACTGGCACAGTCTCCCTGGCAATTATATTTTACAAGCACTATTTTAGCTGTGAATTTAAGTATTTGCTTTATCACCATCACCTGTAACTTAATACTGTCATTTTACAAAGAATGTGCTTGCACTTTTGTTTTTTGCTGTGAAAAAGCGTCATGCTCATAATTAGCTTCACAGCAACAGACACTATTTTCATAAAACATGACTGTTCCAGACACGAGACTAGCTGGTGGAAACCCCTAGGAATTTAAAGTTAAAACTACAATTTAAAGCTCCAAGTGAATCTGGAGTAAGATCACAGGCACAGAGCTTATTCACAGAGCTTGTCTAACTGGAGCTAAAAGATCCTTTCACAACCCTGTCTTGGTCTTAGGAATGGAGCATTACAAGATCCTTTATAAGAGCACCATCTGGCCCTTGTAGGAGACTGGGGTTGGGAAAAAAGATCACACTATTTTCAGTGAGACTCTTGTAACACTAAGCTATGCTTTCCTACTACTATCATTTTACCTAAATGATGGCACAAAACAACCTTAGGATTCAAGACTTTGCCATTCAAGAGTATGGAGTTAGAGAGAACAAGGGTCAGTAAACCAAGCCCTACATTCATTTTTGTGTGGCCCTCAAGTTAAGAAGGTTTCTAACATTTCTTTCAAGTGTTACAAATAAGGAAGAAGAGTATGTGGACAGAGACCAGTACAGTGTAGCTCAAGACATTTACTATCTGACTTTTTACTGAAAGCATTTGCTGCTAAGGTATTGGAGACCAATACCTTGATACAACAGGAATGAACTGATACATATGACTTCCAGCAGTTACAGTTCAGATCACTCTCTTGGGCCCCTTGGTACCAAGAAAGGAGCTGAAAGAGAAAACTTTAAAAAGGTAAAAAGGAAGAGAAATGCATTTTCTGAATGCATTTCTCTCTTATGTAGAATGATGAAAATAGTTACTAATGTTACCAAGAACTGTGCCAAGAACTGTGTACCAATAACTGTGTGTAAAACCTTTTATTTGGTTTAACCGTTTTAGTTATCTGAACTAGCTCAGGAGGTAGAAACCATTACAGTCTTCATTTTTACAGATGAAAACAAGTCTTAGAAAATTCAGTAACTTGTTCAAGCTCATCACATGGCTAGTAAACTGCACAGCTGGGATTCAAATACAGGTAGTTTAATTTGAAAGTCACACACTTTCAGCTGCCAAGCGATCTAAAAAACGGGCAACACGAGAATCTCAAATGACAATCTGTTTTGGAGAGTGAAAACATACTTAAAACTAGGGAGTAGTGCTAGCTAATCTCCCCCTGCTAGGCCAGAGCTGCCTTCTGCCACCTAATGTCAGTGAAGAGTGGAAATTACCATTTTGAAGGGGCACTTGAGAATGTCACCTCATCCTGCCCTATATTTAGGCAGTTACACAAAACAGAAAACCCCAGACCGACCTGTAGTGCCTCATATATCTTCCTACCAGAGAAAATCTCATTAGAGATACCCAAGTACTTATGAAGATCCTTTCAATGCTGAAATTTACAAGTATAGACACTTTCAGTTGAGAAATGTTCTATCACCTATAAAACAAGGGCAGTGGGCCCTGGAATGACCACGTTCCTCATCATAACGCACTGGCAGCTAACATGCGACCACCGTATCCCAAATCCATGGGTGCAGGCTCCTAGCTTGGTGTGAGCTAGGAACACAGGGGATGCAGGTTTCCTTTCAATGCTGAAATTTATAAGTATAGACCATTTCTGCTGGTGTACAGTTTAACAAACATGAATGGGCTTAGGTGAAACTCAAGTATAGAAAGCTTTTCTGTCCTGACCTCTCAGTGGTACTTCTCTCTAGAAATTACTTTATGGAGAAGAATCAGCTTAACAGTGGCTCAAGTGAAAAGGATATGAGACTTTTAGTTATTAACTATTAATTAATCGTGGAACTGGGCCACCAGAATGCTAGGCAAGCACTCTAATCCTGGGCTGTAACTCCAAATCTTACTACTTTTTACTTTGAGACAGGGCCTTATTAAAATGCTAAGGCTGTCCTGACCTTATGATCCTCCTGTTTTAGCCTCCCCAGTTGCTGGGATTACAGGAATAAGTCATGATGCCTGGTATGAACAACCAGTTTAATGTGTGTGATATGCGAGAGCACAGCCAGTTCTAGGTCACAGAAATTCGTTGGTATATAGAAGACCCTGTATCTGAACTGTGCAGTTTAACATTGAACACTTCAACTTCTGCTTACAACCAATCATTTCAGAGTGAGGGGCCCTGGAGTGCTGACAATGGAGAGTTAACAACAAGGGTCATGGGTTGGTTACAACACACAATTCTTCTATCTTTCGGACATGTGTGGTTTGCAGTCTGACAGTCCACTGCTCTCTAGCCTTGGGAAAGTCTCTCTCATTTTCTTTCCAAAATAGAGACAATAATGCTTTTTTTATAGGGTGATTGTAGGACACAAATCAGTAGAAACATGTAAAGAATTTAAACAAGTGCTGGTACAAAGCAAAATGTCCATCCATTAAATGATATATGGGACTGAGAAAAAACTGACAAGTAGTTCAACTACTAGATGATCACTTAACATTTCTCTTTCAACTAATGTATGTGTTATAAAGAAGCTTCATAATACAACAAGAATAGTAACAGTCTTCTGAGCACAGGTCAGTTGTCAGATATTGTACTTGGTGGTTCATATACATTTTTTCACTTACTCATTTTAACAACTCATTTTATACATGAGGAAACTGTGGAATGGGGAGGCTGATAATGTGGTCCAAGATTGCAAGAAGTTATTAAGTGGTAAAGATGGAACACGGTGTGGTGGTGCACACCAGTAATCCCAGCACTCAGGAGGCTGAGGCAGGAGGATCGTTGTGAGTTTGAGACCAGTCTGGGCTATAAAGTGAGCTCAAGGCCAGCCTCAGCTGCACAGCGAGACCCTGTTTCAAAAAGACAAAAAAAAAAAAAAAAGAGGTAAAGATGGAATCCAGGCCCAGAAGGTCTGACTCCAGAGGATGAGCTCTTAAAAGAAGTGCTCTGGTGGGCAAAAAAACCTCAAATTGACTCAAAAGCACTCTAATCCTTATGTGCTGCAAACATGTACTTAAAAAAATCAATCACAGAATGAAGAGAAAAAAAACGCAAAGTTAAAAAAAATTTAATAAATGGTATTGCAACAAAACAAAACAAAAGCACTGTTGGTAACTCAAGCAAGTGAACTCCATAGATGGAGCTCCATTTCCTTATCTGAAAGGGAGGGGCCTAGCCTCCCTTGCTGTGGGGGCCTGTTTGGTCTTGTCTTGGTTGAAGTGGTGGGAGGAGCAGGGGCAGGGCATGTCAGGTGGGACCTGCAAACACAGTGATTTCTTCCACGGCCTTTCAAAAGCTCAGGAACAATGCAACAGGTGATGACCTGTCTTCTTACAATTAGTCAAACAATGGTGCTTGGCTCCCGGACTATAATGGTAAAAAAGGTAGGATCTTCATCTGGACCCAGTGTATGCTTATGAGACACAAACAAGTAGTCAACATGCAGTGTGTTTAGTGCCTTTAAACACAGTGGGAAAATAAGAGTCACCAACTCTACCAGGCCCAAATCAGGTAAAGGGAAAGACATCAGAGCGGCGCCCCTTGAGCTGGCGCACAGGAGTTTGCCAGAAGAACGCAAAGGTTCTCTGTGCAGAAGCAACAAGATATATGAAGCCAGAGTCACAACGTCTCCCTGTGGTTTTCATTTTGAAGAAAAATCAAGTATCCCACCTTTGCATACATTTTACTCAGAAAGCAGATATACATCAAATGTCATAAATTTGAAATAAAGGATTCTGATGGAGTGGCATGGCACTAGGACTGAACCCAGAAAGCACTACACTAACTACATATCCAACTGTGCTTTTTATTATAATTATTTTTTTGATTTTGACACAGGGTCTTACTAAGTTGTCTAGGCTAGCCCCAAACTCATCCTCCTCCTGCCTTGGCCTCTAGAATAGTTGAAATTATAGATGTGCTACATGCCTGGCTTTGAGGAATTTATTATGGAGAGACTGCAGGATCTATAGAGAGGCGTGAGCAGAGGAAACACTGTTTTTGTGTTGACTGTCTTGTTTGTCAGCTAGCTAACACTGTGTGAGTTCCCTCTTCTCTACAAATGGGATAAGGATCACGTCTAACTAAAGAGGAAATGTGCTTCACAAGTGTGAAAATATTCTATATTCAAATATCACTACTTGAGTTCAAAGAAGCCTTAACTTCTTAATTCATTTAATTTGTTCAGTAACAAAAATGTTCTTATAATGGGATCTGACCATGTTGGGCATAAGATTTCCCTGTAATTTTTTCTGATGCCTCATTGGAGTCATGACTTCTTCCTTCTGTCCACAGACTTTCTGTTTGAGAGTACACTTGAGACCAAGCAGAGCCACCTGTAGAAGAAACTATGGCACAGCAAGGATACTGTCATGCTACAACGTAAGTGTATGAATGAAAGTTGTGTCTTACTGTTATTTCTGATAACAGAGATGTTGTTCTGTCTATACACATAGAGGTTTGCTAGACTTCGTTTCTAATTCTAGGCTCTACTTTCCAAACGCAAATATTTAAGACCAAATGCTTGTTTTGTTCTGTTTTGAGACAGGGCCTCATTATGCAGCTCTGGCTGGCCTTTAATTTGCTATGCAGCCCAGGCTTCCACGTAACTCACGGCAATCCTTCTGTCTCAGCCTCCCGGGTGCAAGAGTTACAGGCATGACCTACCATGCTGGGCAAGACT